AGATATATTTTAAATCCCAAGAGAAAGGTATTGTTTCATACAGCCAATACTCATTTCTATATGCCCTTTCCTTTCTCTTCACTCCTTCCTGCATTTCCATGCTTTCACGTACAACCCTTTTCCTTCTGCCTGAAAACTCCATTAGTGTTTCTTTCAGTGCAGGTGTGTTGGCAACGAATTCTCTGTTTTGTTTATCTGGAAATGTCTGTATTTTCCTTTGCTTTTAAAAAGTGTTCTATTGTTAAATAATTTCAGACTTACAGAAAAGGTGCAAGAATAGTACAAAGAATTCTCATATATCTTTCAAGCAGATTCTTCAAATGTTAAATTTATCACCCTTGCTTTATTATTCTCTATCAATCTGATTATCTATCTATTTTCCCTGAACTGTTTGAAACTAAATTACAGACATGATGCACCTTTCTCCCTAAATAGCTCAGAATTCATTTCCTGATTTGGGGATGGGGGGAATTCATGCTCGTATATAACCAAAGTACAATTATCAAAATCAAAAAGTTAACATTGTTAAATTTATATCTGTAGTTCAGACCTCTCCTCTGAATTCAATTCATAGTAACCCATCTGCCCACCTGACATCTCTACGTGGATGTCTAACAGAGATCTCAAACTTACTATGTCTAACACTGAGCTCTAACCTTGCCCCACCAAACTGCTCCATTTCTAGTTAATGCCAACTCCATTCCTCTAGTCACAAAGCCAAAAACCTTAGAGTCACCCTTAATTTCTGTTTCTCTTTCAGATTCTGGATCCAACAAATCTGTTGGATTTACTTTCAAATAAGACCCAGGGATCTGAGGGAGGACTTCTCACCACTTGACTAGTCTCCCAGCTCCCACCCTTGCTCTCCAACTGTTTATTTTTACTGCAGCAGCCAGGGTGATCCTGTTAAAGCTTAAGTCAGATTATACTACTCCTCTGCTTAAAACTCTCTGATGGTTTCCCATTTTACTAAAAGTAAAACCAAAGTCCTCACATGGATCAATGCTGCTCTAGACAACCTCACTTCCTGTCAACGCTGTGGCCTCACCTCTCATTACAATCCACGTTGCCTACACTCTGGCCTCCTTTCTGTTCCTAGAATATGCCAAACATGCTCCCTCTTTAGGCTTTTGCAAAGATGGTTCCCTTTTCCCGGAACTCTTTCTCCCCAGAAATCTGCATGGCTTGGTTCCTCATTTTCTTCAAGTTTTTGCTCAAATGTCACTTTAGTGGGGCCTTTACAGAACATTCCATTTAAAATTGCAAGCTTCTAAGAACCCTCTATCACTCTTACTCTACTTGGACTGTGTTTATATTTTATTCTATTTACTGCTCTCTCACCTCAACCCCACCGTTAGAATGTACGCTCCATGAAGGCAAGGATTTGGGGCTATTTCATTTACTACTATATTTCCAGTACCTAGAACAGTGCTTAGGTTGGTTCTATTGGCACCTAGTAGGTGTTCAACAAAACTATGTGGGAAGAACAAATAAACGGAAACCCAATATGCAAAACAGATAAAAGTAACACTGCTCAGGTTTTGGGAGAGCCAGTTGCAGCAAGCAGAAAACCCAGAGTCCCCCTTCTTGACGCCTCTTTGCCCCTGAAACATCTCTTTAGAACCTCCAAGGAGCCCCAGGGACAAGTGCACAAACTATTCCCATATATTCACCCTGGTCTAAGGCAAACTAGCTTGTTCCTCAGCCCCTGACATGCCTCGCACCCTCCAGTCTTCTGCCCCCGATGCTCCACCCGCCGCAGGAGCTTTCTCTCAGTTCTACACAGGGATTGTCAGTGCTCTGGGTTCTCTCTTCCATCACCAGAGCTTTTCCTGATCACTCCAGGCAGCAGCACTTTTCTAGAGCGATTACTATCTATATAGCATTCCTCTGGCTGTCAAACATAGATTGCTTTGTACCTTTCTTTCATCTTGTATGGTTTTTTTAAAGAATCTAATACTGTTGAACTTTTACCATCTCTCTTATCCACTGCTATATCTACAAAGCCTAAAACACTGATCAACTTGTAGTGAGCATTCACTAAATATTTGTCCAATGTGTGAATAAATGTGGATAAAGCACACCGGTGTTTAATGTTCTGCAGTTTTTAATAACTGTAAGATGTATTTGTAACACTTGGTGACAATCCCTTTCTTCCCTCTTTAAAAAAAAAACTTATCTATCATAAAACTCATTACCACTGTCACCATTAACACTTAACATTATTTTTGAAGTTCTGTCCCATGCAATAAGGCAGGACATAAAATTAAAATGCTTAAGAATTGGAAAGAAGGTCACAAAATAACCAATTGTAGACAATATGATTATGTACTTGGAAAAATCAATGTACTCATAAGCAAGTTTGAGATTGCTAGATATATATTTATTTTTTAAAATTCAGTAGCACACCTATGCACTAGCAATAAGTAATTAAAAAGTAAAATGAAAAGAAATTCCTTTCTCAGTAGCCACAAGCAATATAAAATTACTATGAGTAACATTAAAGTATATTAGATCTATATGAAGAAAACCTTGCAAAGAGAAATAAAAGGATATTGAAATAAATGGAACAGCCTTTTAGTTTGACACAATTCCAATAAAAATCCCAATTATTTTAACTTTTCTCTCAAAAGTGAAAATTTATCTTGCATAAGCACATACGAATACACAAGGAAGAATAACAAGGAATGTTTGGTAGTTCATTCTGTCTCCGCTCATAGTTATTTAGATCTCCTTCATATTTTTTTAAATGGTTCCTCTAAGGATTACAATAGGCATCCTTAACTTAATCAGAGTCTACTATGAACTAATATTACACCACTTTACATAGTAAGAACCTAATATGACACATATTATATGTGCCATATTGTATGTACTAATATCTTTAATTAAGAATCAATAATTTCAGGGCCGGCCCCATGGCCGAGTGGTTAAGCTTGCGTGCTCCCCTTCGGCAGCCCAGGGTTCACCGGTTCAGATCCTGGGCGCAGACCTAGCGCTGCCCATCAAGCCGTGCTGCAGCAGCATCCCATATGGAAGAACTAGAACGACTTACAACTAGGACATAGAACTACGCACTGAGGCTTTGGGGAGGGAAAATAACGGGCGGGGGCGGGGGGCAAGACTGGCAATAGATGTTAGCTCAAGACCAATCTTCCTCACCAAAAAGCATTAAAAAAGTTTAAAAATTAAAAAAAGAAAGATAACTTTAAAAAAGAATCAATAATTTCATTTACACTCCCTGCTGTCCTTTGTGCTATCGTTCTGATGTCCATCACATAATTCATATAAATGTGTGTATATGCTATAAACCAACATCATCTTATTATTTCTTTAGATAACTGACTTTTAAAGAATTTAAGAATAAAAATTAAAATAGTAGAGCCAGCATGGTGGCACAGTGGTTAAGTGTGCACACTCTGTTCCAGCAGCCCAGGGTTCGTGGGTTTGGATCCTGGGTGTGGACCTACACACCACTCATCAAGCCATGCTGTGGCAATATCCCACACACAAAACAGAGGAAGACTGGTACAGATGTTAGCTCAGGGCCAATCTTCCTTATCAATCAATCGATCGATCGATCGATCACTAGTATTTTATATTTACCCACATATTTAACATTCCCTGTGCTCTTTATTCATCCTGAGGATCCAAATTTCCATCTGGTATTATTTTCTCTTCAGTATGTATGAAGATCTTCCATTGATATTTATTATAATGCATGTCTGCTGGCAACAACTTCTCTCAGCTTTTATCTAAAAATATTTTTATTTCTTCTTCATGTTTGATAGATGTTTTCACTGTGTGTAGAATTCTACATTGACAGTTTTTTCTTTCAGCATTTTGAAGATATCATTCTATTGTCTAGTGAGCTACATGATTCTGACTATAAGTCAGTGGTAATTCTGATCATTATTCCCTTTTTCTTTATCTTTAGTATCCAGCAGTTTCACTATGATATACCTAGATGTAATTTTCTTTGCTTTTATGCTGCCTAGGGTTGGCCATGCTTCCTGGGTTGCTGTGACTGTGTGTTTGTGTGTGTGTTAATCAAAATTGGAAAATTTTCAGCCAACATTTCTTTGAACATTTTTTTCTGCCTCATTCTTCTCAACTTTTGGGACTGTAATGACCCATATGTTACGCAACTTGATTTTGGGTGACAGGTCATTAAGGCTCTGGTCCTATTTTTTTCAATCTTTTTCCAACAACATACTTTAGTTTTGATGATTTCTATCAACCCGTCTTCAAGATCACTGATCAATCCTCTCTTCTCTTCTGCCCAATCTGCTATTAATGCCATCCAGTGAAATGTCAGTCACAGGCTTTATGTTTTTCAGTTCGAAGATTTCCAGTTGGTTCTTTTTTGAACTTTCGTATCTCAATTTCCCACCTCTTCACCCTTTCATCCTTTTTTTTTTTTTAAGATTTTTCATTTTTCCTTTTTCTCCCAAAGCCCCCAGGTACACAGTTGTCTATTTTTAGTTGTGGGTCCTTCTAATTGTGGCATGTGGGATGCTGCCTCAGCAGGGCCTGATGAGTGGTGCCATGTCTGTGCCCAGGATCTGAACCGGCGAAACCCTGGGCTGCCGAAGTAGAGCGCGCGAACTTAACCACTCGGCCACGGGGCAGGCCGCCTCATCCATTTTTTTCATATATAGTCTTTTAACAATTTTTCAGTTATTTTAAAGTTCTTTTTGGGGGGCTGGCTCCGTGGCTGAGTGGTTAAGTTCCCATGCTCCGCTTCAGCGGCCCAGGGTTTCGCCAGTAGGGACCTTAGGCATGGACATGGCACAGCTCATCAAGCCATGCTGAGGCAGCGTCCCACACAGCAGTACAACCAGAGGCACTCACAACTACAATATACAACTATGTACTGGGGGGCTTCAGGGAGAAGAAAAAAAAAAAGATTGGCAACAGATGTTAGCTCAGGTGCCACTCTTTAAAGTTCTTTTTGGTCTCTGAGTCTATTTCTATTGATTGACTTTTCTTTTCCGTAGGCACCACAGGTTCCTGTTTCTTCCTCTTCACACGTCTAGTAAGTCTCTATGTTACACTAGAGATTGTGGATGGCTGGCTATAGAGGCTGTGGATTCTGTTTTTCCTTCTGAAGAACTGAGTTTTGTTCTAGAAGGCAGTTAAATTATTGGTAGATCGCCTTGATCTGACGTAGGCTGTTTTATGCTTTATTTATTCCTTTTTTTGAGCTTAGTACTAGGGAAAATACCACAGTCTCAGGATCTAGTGTTTGCTCCTAAGGGGTGATCCCTCTGGGGTTTCAAAGGAAAGCCCAAGGTGTTTACCAAAACCCCTGTAACTTGTTAAGACTCAAACTTTGAATTCTGCCTTTCCTACAGGACGTGGCTGCTGGAATCTCTGCTGGAATCTGCAGCACCTACCCTGTGCATGGGCAGTGTAGGAGTCAGCCTAGAATTTGAGGGGTGTTTATATGCAGAGTTTGGGGTTACCCCTCCAATGTTCTCTTTCCTGGAATTTCCAATCACATTCTAGCCACTCTGGCATCCTCAAAATCCATCCCCCAATTCCTCAAACCAATATGACAGCAGCTTTCTGCCTGACTTCTATTTGCCAGCACCTGATGGACTGGGGAATACCTCAAGGAAAAAGCCCACAATGGTTTCTTCTCTCAAGAATCAAATCCACAGCAATTTCTGCTTGCTTCCCATTGCTCTCCTGTGCCCTCAAGCAACATTTTAAAAATATTTTGTCCAGAATTTATATTTGTTATTGGTGGAAATGTTATTCTGATATAAGCTGCTCAGTCATTACTGAAAGCCAGAACTCTCAGAATGTTTTTGAAAAGAGAAGAATGATCAAGTGAGCCTTGTTTTTATACCTATTAAAATTGATGATAAAGATACAGCAATTAAAACAACTGTGGCACTTGTATAAGAACGTACAGGTCAATAAAAACAATAGATGAACTTGTTATATACTGAAATTTAATATATAATAAAGGAAGCATAACAAATAAATGGGAAAAAATTATTTATTTATTTGAAGGACAGTTTTGGAAAAAGTGATGTTTGAAAGGAGTTTCACTTCCCATCATTTCATTAATTTCAGGATTAAGAGAAATATACAAACATAAACCATAAAAACTGAAATAAAATGTTGGTGAATATTTAACTTATTACTGGTTTGGTGTTTGTGGACAAACTATTGAACTTCCCTCCCTAGTTTCTTTCTTGAATGCAAGAAAACAATAAAAAATACCTACCTCATAGAGTTTTTGTGACTAAATAAAATAAGGACACTTAGCTCATTGCCTGACAGATAATCAGCCCTCAATAAATGTTAGCTGCTGCTGCTGTTACTGTAATTATTTATTATTTAATAATTATAGGGAAGGAATCTCTTTCATAAAAACAAAAGAGGAAATATCAGAAGATTGATAGATTTGATTATGTGAAAATAATCACTTTTATATTTTAAAAAACATAAAAGGCAAGGAACAATGGGGAAAATGTTTGCAAACATGACAAAGAATATTCTTAATATATAAAGGCCATTTTAAAAATCAATAAATAAAGCACTACTATCCCAGTAGAAAATAAAGGAATGAATAAACATTTGAGAAGAAATAAATATATTTTAAAAGTTTAACTGTGTTATTAATCGAATAAATGCAAATTAAAACAATCTGAGAAAATGGTCTTCTTGCTGTTTTGTTCTTTTTTAGTGACCAGGCACATTAGTACACTGAGACAGGTACTCTGAAACCCTGGTGAAGGAACTGGTATGACAATTGGGAAAACAACTGCTATGGATCCAGAGTCTTAAAAAGATCATATGCTATGATTCAGTTCTTCCTCATTTCAGGAATCTTTTTTGAGGGAATATTAGTACTATTTACCATGTTTTTCTAATTCCTATAAATAAAAAACAAGAAAGAAAGAAAATAAATTAAGTACTCATCTCAAGAAGCAAGAACATCATCAGAAAAATCCAAACAAAGTAGATGAAAGGAATTCTGCAGAAGAATGTTTTCAAGCTTCCAAGTGGCCAAATTTTTCTTGCAGAGCTTATCATAAATTTTAGTTTTATTGCCTTAAAGTTAGAGAAGGGGGCTATATGATTTCTCCCTTTTGGACTTTATTGAGATATTCTTTTGGGGCCAGTTTACATAACTTTTAGTACTGAAAAAGTGAGTATTCCCTGTTATATGTGTACAAAATTCTATATATTTATACATCAAACAAGTTTATTAAATTATGTTATCCAATTATTTCATATTTTCTTTTGCCTGTTGATTTTTTAAATTCTGAGGTGTGTTAATATCTTCAACTACGAGTTTTAAATTCTTCTTGTATTTCCCTTATATTCTTTGACAGAATATTTTTTAGTGCATAAAGTTTCATGATTATTATGGCTTTCAGGTGGCATGAACTTTGTTAGGGTATAAACTGACCGTTCTTTTTAATATTTTCTAACCTGAAATTTCTAATCTGCCTAAGATGAATACTGCCAATTCTGTTTCTTTTGGGTTGCGGTTGCTCACTCCATCTTGCCCATCCTTTGTTTTCAACTTCCCTAATTGTTTTGTTTTAGGTATGTCTCTTACGAACAGCATAAAACTGGCCTTTGTTTTTTCCTCATGTTGTACTGAGTCTGGGATCTCTCTTTGAACAGAGATTTTTTAAAATCCCATGAATATTTATTGTGTTCACTGCCTCTAGTTTTATAGTTTTTTTCCACTTTCCTGACCTTTGCTGATCTGATTATCTTTTCTTCCCCTTGAACGTGGCTTAAAAGTTCTAAATCCTATTTTCCTCTAGTCTAATAAGGATGAGCCCTAATTTTTTAAAATTGAGAGATGATATAGTTAATCTTAAATATACAGTTTGAAATATTTGTACATTCGCATATACTGTGTAACCACCACTCAGATGGATATCCAGAACATTTCCCATTACTCCATAAGGCAGCCCTACCCATCCACACCTTCCTCAAGGTAACCACTATGATTTTGATCACCAATATTAGTTTTATCTGCTCTTGAACTTCATGCATATAAATGTATGTATTTCTGATATCTGGCTTCCTGGACAGAATTCTTTAAGATTCATCCACGTAGTTACAGAGACCAGTAATTTATTCTGTTTTCTTTCTATGTAATATCCCATAATGTGTCTATACCATGAATTACCCATTCTTCTATTGATGAACATTTCCCTCAGGTTTTTGCTGTTTTAAATAAAACTACTACGTACATTCCTGTGCCTGTTTTTCATGGATGTATGCACTTATTACCTTTGGGTCTATACCTAGTAATGGAATCACTAGGTCACAGAACAAGCATAGATTTAACTTTAGTGGAAAGTGCTAGTTTTTTCAAAGTGGCTGCACTCCCACCAGCAGTGTATGAGGGTTAGAGCTGCTTCATATCTGTGCCAACACTTGGTATTGTCTTTTTAATTTTGGCCATTCTGGCAGGTGTATAATGGTGACTTGCTGTGGTTTTAAATTATATTATCCTGATGAGTAATGATGTTAGGCGTCTTTTCTATGCTCACCAATCATTTGGAAATGCTCTTTAATAAAATACCTGTTCAAGTCTTTTGTACACTTTTAAAAATTAGGTTATTTGGCTTTTTCTTATTGATTTATAAGAGTTCTTTACATAGTCTACATGATACATGACTTCTGTCAGATACAAATATTATGAATATCTTCCTCCAGTGTATGGCTTGTTCTTTTGCTTTCTTTTTCTCCCCCCCCCCCCCCCGCCCCTCCTGACCCCCTCACCTCAGCCCCCACCCAGGACCCTGGCTGCCCTGCCCACCCCTGCCACTCACCTCCTTGTTTTCTTACTGTTATGTTTTCATGAATGGAAGTTTTTAATTTTGATGTAACTTTTTTTTATCCTTTTATGTTAGTGGGTTTTGTGGCCTAATTAAGAAACCTTTGCCTACCCCAAGGTCACGAAGATACTCTGTTGTGTTTTTCTAGAAGCTTTATGGATTTACCTTTCTCATTTATGTATGCTGTGAGGTAAGGGTCAAAGTTGATTTTTTTCACATGAGTATCTGATTATTACAGTAGCATTTTTTGGAGCAGTGGCACATTCTGTCAATCTATTTATTCATCAACATATAATTATAGAGAGCCTAGTTAAGTCAGACATTGTGCCAGAGCTGAAGATAAATCAATGCACAAATAAGGTATCATTCTTGCCCTCACAGAATCTAGTGAGCAGTTTATTAAGTTGGGTCTGTCAGCCCTTAATTTCAGAAAATTCTTGATCTAAGGAAACAGCTGAGCAAAATCTCTTTAACTTATGTCCAGTATCTAGCCTCCTGATTACACTAAATTCATTGAAAAACTCCATAATCTGCTTCAGTTTTTCCAAGCATCCTACAGATTGATGGTGGTTAAGGAAGGAGCATGAAGAAAACTCACTCTGATATTTTTCTGATTATGAAAGCAATATTTGAAACTGAATACAACTGTTGAAAATGATTCTTTTAACAGAGAAAAGCTGAAAGGAGCCAGATTAAAAAAAAATCACTGACATGCTCATCACCCAAAAGAGATTAGTGCTAATATCTTGAACATAAAATGGAATCACACCTTAGTTGGAGACTCTAAAGTGATGTAAACAGTGAAAATTTTGCAGAGTCAAAATTACTCTTAAAATTTCCTTTTAAGGAGAACTTCCAGCTAGACATGGCAGCTTGAACAGACAGCTCTGACTGTAATTTTAACTCATCCTACATTAACACGTTAAAAAGGACTCATGTCCAGAGACCTTCCAACCAATTGTTTAGGGCCTCTCTCTTAAATAACAGGCAATCAAGGATCACTAGATGTTTGAGGGAAACCTTGAAAATGAAAATCAGAGCCCCAAAAACATAATAAAAAAGAACTCAGAAATTACAGAGGGAACAGGAAAAAATAATAATAACAATATTCTTGGAGAAAGAAGAGCTGTTGCATCCAAGAAAAGAGAACAGAATGTTAGAAAAAAGGAACACGCAGAGAAGAGGAAATCACTATTTACTATAAATTAAAGATCTGAGCAGAAAAAAATTTCAAGAGAAATATTGGAAGATGAAATTATTAGAAGATAAAATATTGAAACAAACTGCTCATGAAGTGGAGCAAAAAAGACAAAAAGATGGAAAAAAGGAAAGAAAGTTTTTAAACATATCTGAGGGTCAACCCAGGACATTTAACATCCAACTAACAGGAGTTCCAAGAAAACAGAAAGCAGAACACAAAAGAGAGGAAATTATTAAAGAAATAAAACAAGAACATTCCACAAACCTAAGGATGTGCATTTTCTAATCAAAGGGCACGTCAAGCGCCCAACACAGTGAATGAAAAAAAGACTCCTTGATGCACATTATTGTGAAATTTCAGAATATGCAGAATAAAGATGAGAAGTAAAGCTTGCAGAAGGAAATAAACAGTTCACACAGAAAGGATCAGGAATCTGAAGGGCATCAGACATCTCAGCAGCAACACTGGAAGGTTGGAAGACAACAGACTGTACCCTCAAAATTCTGATGAAACACTATTTCCAATCTAGAATTCTAAACCCAGCCAAGCTAAAGATGAAATATGAAGGTAGATTAAGAACATTTTCAGAGATGCTGGATCTAAAAAACGTTTATCCCTCGTGCAAACCTTCTTAGGAAGCTTCTGAAGGATTTGCTCCACCAAACCAAAGAAGCAATCCAAGAAAGAACACCACAAAAAAGCCAGAACAGGAAATCGATCACAGGAGAGAGAGAAAGAGACTACCCAGAATAATGGTGAGAGGACAGCTATACAGCAGGTCTAGAGAGCAAAAAGTTCAGACAGAAGCAAGAGGGCAAATGGCACCAGCAAAAAAGTAACCTAATGTCTTTGATGGTACCGAGGGGAGTTTAATAGCTCTGGTAGAGAGTTTGAGGACTAATTAGTGGTAGGTAGAACACTAAGCAATCTGCCTCATCCCCCAAATAGTAAAAGCTCTTAACGAATATTTCCTTAACATGATTGTGTGTGCGTGTGTGTGTGTGACAGAGAGCGAGAGCAAGAGTGAGAGTGAGAGTGAGAGAGAGCAGGAGAGAGGGAGAGAGAGGGAGAGAGATGGGGGGGGTGCTGTATATATGTGGGTTATTGTCACTCTTTAAAGCTGACATCATGTTTAACAGGGAGACAAAAGTAT